CAGACTGTCATACAACATCAGACTGTCATACAACATCAGACTGTCATACAACATCAGACTGTCATACAACAACAGACTGTCATACAACTACAGAGTGTCTTCAGTCAGAGGCTTCTTCAGATCCTCTGTAGGACAGACGCTACAAGAGATCCTTCCTGCCCACAGCCATCAGCGTCTAGAACAACTCTTTAATGAAACCAGGATGACGAGTTACAACATTTAATTTACCTCTGGGATTAATAAAATACTTTTCTATTGAAATTTTGAATTGATTAGACTACCTCCTGAATACATCCCATTGGAAGTTCTTTGGGTACGTCCCACTTGCACTTGCCATCCAATTTTCTTTGGGCACTCCCCACACAAGTGGCTTCAAACATCTGCTAAGTTCATGGTAAAAACCAGTGCAGACATCTTGCTGTTAGTATTCTACACCGCCTCATAATCTAGCCATTTTTCACTACTTTTCCTTTAAATTATCCTTTTTTTTACCATTTTATTTTCACTTGTTCAAAAAATTGTACGCATCCTTTATGATTGTCTATTGTTGTCGTTGTTGTCCGCTGTTGTCATCACTCTGTTAAAATGCAGGTCTCTCTTGTAAATGAGTCCCTGAGGCTCAGTGAGATTAACCTGTATGAATAAAGGTTGAATGAACTTGAAGGAGACACCTGGGTAGATCCAGAACTTGGAGTGATTACATATCCACTCTGGAAAGCAAAAGAAGGAACTTCTCCACCTCTTCACTTTCTTATTCCATGACTGCATTTGAGCAAGTGACATTATGTGACATTTCATCTTTATTTGATAAAATTAAAATGTCTGCCGTCCAAATGACATTCTTTCGGCCATGTTGTTAAAAAAGCTTTTTCTTTCATTGGTCCCTGCAATGTAGATATTTGCAATGCTTCTATTTCAACAGGTGTGTTTCCAAGCTCATTCAAGCATGTTGTTGTTGAGCCATCATTAAAAAAAGCAAACCTGGACCGGGAGCATACAAAGTTTGAAAATTACAGGCCAATCTCCAAGATCCCGTTTTTTTCAAAGCTTCTTGAAAAAGTAGTAGCTGAGCAGCTAATCGCTCACATGGAAAGACGAGATTTTTGACAAATTTCAGTCTGGGTTTCAAAAGCTCCACTCCACAGAAACTGCTTTACTTAAAGTTTCCAGTGATATTTTGATGTCAATCAATTCTGGAGAATCCACGGTGACGGCTCTCCTAGATCTAACATCTGCTTTTGACACTGTTGAACACAGTATTTTGATTAACAGGCTACGGGATGTACTCGGTCTATCAGGCTTGGCATGGGAGTGGTTTTTCTCCTCTCTTTCTGGCAGAACAATTAGTGTTTCTGCAAACCAAATAATGCCAGAATCCAAGAACCTGCTATGTGGGGTACCTCAGGGCTCAGTGTTGGGACCTATTCTCTTTCTTTTGCATATTCTTCCCCTTGGTCAAATGTCAGTTTCCAGATGTGTCTTATCATTTCTATGCTGATGATATTCAGCTATATTGTTCCTTCAGACCTTCTGAACATCACAAATTGTCCTCCTTGTTAAATTGTATTAGCAATATCAAACTTCCCCCAACAGCTTACTCCAAAGTGGAACAAACCAGTTCTGCTTGTGATAAGATGGTGTCTTTGGTACACCCCTCCTCCAGAATCAGTTTTGTTGTGTGTTTGTGTGCGAAACGTTTCATCACAAAAAAGAAACTGTCCAGATGAGCTGACTGAAAGATGTTGGATTAATAGAAATGCTTTTCATTTTCAAAATCAAGCTGCATGTTTTGACTCATAAATAACATAAAAAATAAATCATCCAGACTGGGTTCCTTCTTATGCATGACAATGTTAGACCTCATGTGGCTGAAGTGTGTCAGCAGGTCCTGCATGATGAGGGCATCGATGTTATGGACTGGTCTGCCCGTCCCCCAGACCTGAATCCAACTGAGCACATCTGGGACATCATGTTTCAGTCAATCCACCAAGGCCACATGGCACCACAGACTGTTCAGGAGCTAATTGAAGCTCTGATCCAGGTGTGGGAAGAGATCCCTCAGGAGAACATCCACCGTCTCATCAGGAGCATGTCCAGGTGTTGCTGGGAGGTTCCACAGGCACGTGGAGGCCACACACACACTGAGCCTCACTTAGACTTGAAGATTCACTGACGTTGAATCAGTCTGTCGTGTTATTTTCCACTTTCACATTGAGAATGAATCCAGATCCAGATCTCCATGGTGTCATAATTTAGATTCACATTGACAATTTTTGTGGCATTCTCTTCTCAGTCAATTTCACTGTGCTAATAATAAAGTTTGTCAATGAGAATAGTTAATTAATTGAGGTCTAGGATGTGTTAGTTCAGTGTTCCCTTTAATTTTGTGAGCAGTGTATTCTAAGTAAAGACAGACGAGCCTTTTTGAAATCCATGTTTTGTAGTACTTTTCTTCAACCACCAGAGGGCACTCACGAACAGAAATACGAAATGTAAATGGACTGTACTTATATATATATGAATATATATATATATATATATCACCTGTCTATCTTATTTCAAGATACTCAGAGCTCTTTACAACAATCTGTGCCTCGTGTACCCGTTCATACAGCTCTATACTAGATCTCTACAAAGATAACTGAACAAATCATTCTAAAGAGACTAATCAGAGCTTTATCACATTCAGACACTGATGGGACACACATCAGAGGCTGTGAGGGGTTCAGTGTCTTGCCCAGGGACACTTCAGCATGTGACTGCTGGTGGATTCGAACCTCCAACTCTTGCACTGGAGGACGACGCTCTAACCTCTGAGCCACAGCCGCCTTGAAATGTCAGAAATGTTAAGACATGCTCTCTCCATTTTTGAAAATGAGGTCAACAATATATCAACACTATTCAATATTCCACCAAGGCCTTTAAAACTTGCCCCTGATGTGCTGTCTTTAACGTATTTATTTAATATGTTATTGTAAACTGAATGTTTGTAAAACCCCTGGCAGCTGTTACTTCATTACTGAATACTGCATTTTATTGTACTGTATGTGACTGAACTGACATTGTGTTGAGCCATTTGTTGTGAATTAGCGCTACATGAATAAACTGAATTTAATTTAATTAAGTGACTTGCAATATGTGTGTAATTTGTGATGTTTGCAGTGGCCTCACATCCTCCATTGTCAATGTCTGTAATTCAGTTATTTATCATTAACCTGCGTGTGCTTTTTTTGTTCCCACAAAAAGTAAATGTGGACCAGCCACTCCATTTACCAGCCGGAGGTAAATGGAAACGGGCTGAGTCTGTCTCAGCCAGCGCAGGCCGGTGGATGCCTATCCTAAACCCAGTTTTGATGAAGGCCTGTTAAAAGGCTTTTCATCATCACGGCCACCACCTCTGTGGTGTCTCAGGATGGGACAGAGTGACTAAGTAAAATTCAATTTAATATGTTGCATCCATCCCTGTGATGGACTGGAGACCCGTCCGGGGTGTCCCCGCCCCTCGCACAGTGATTGACGGACATGGGCACCAGCGACCCCCGTGACCCAAAATGGAAGAAGCGGGTAAAGATAATGGATGGATGGATGAATCAGCTGTTGGTCAGGTTACTTCTTGTTGTGCCGTTAACTCTAGAATAGTTATTGAATCAAGTGTTTACTTGTGCAGGTAAAACTAGATGTCAAACAACCATTAAATACACCAGAATGCAGGAAATGACATCTACTTCATTAACAATTTTCTGGGGGACGACCCCCCAGACCCCCCCATCTATCAGTGTGTGTCGTCCCCCCCCAGCCCACATTACAAATGCTTCTGACACCACTGGCCACCGTGTTGCTAAACAAGTACACATGGTGTCGTATGGTGTTCAAAGAGCATTCAACTTCACTCCATCTTGTTGATTTGTGTCAACAAGATGGACATACAGTAGCAGTTATAGTGCTATGAGCGTTTGGATTTTTATACATAAAAATACACTTGATAGTTAGAATTTTAAGTATATTTACTGTATATTATGGTAATTTATTCTGTATTTTGCCAGATTATGGTGATTCTGGGGTCGTGATGAAGGGGCCCTTGAAGATTGTTGCCCAGGGTACAGTGAAGTGTTAATCTGGCCCTGCATACACAGGGAGTCAGTTCCAGTAATAAATCAAAAAGGGTAATCTGTGCAATCGTAGACGTAAATCCAGAAAGGCAGGTCGGTAACATGATCAGAAAAACAATATAATATCAGGCAAAGAACAGCCAGCTTGGGTGTTGAGAAGACTGGGGTGAGGATGTGACAAGAAGATGAAAACAAGACGTGAGCATGAACAGGAATGTCTTGATATCAGGGACCATGAGAGGTATAATAATCTGGCAGGGAATGAGTGAGGGCTTGGCTAGAGCAGGTGACAGGTGAACGGCATGAGTACTGATTGTGATGACCGAGCAGAGTGGGCATGGTTGGATGGAAGACAGGAGCAGACTGAAACTTGACGTGAGCAAGGAAATGCAAACATGATGACTAGAACCATGACAGGAGGGGCTGAGAGTGAGGCAGTTCAGAGGATTCACCTGGATTATTGAGCATGCATCAGGATGTTCAGAGGGTGCGCTCATCACACAACCACAAACATGATAACAACAATAACTAACAACTCCTTGAAGAAATGCGTGCATGCTTAAGTTTTAAACAAAGTTCCCGTGTGAAATATAAGAAATAGAGTGTGGGGATCAGTCTCAGCTAAATTTTAGCTTGATGTCTATAAAAACGTTAATAAGTTATTAGGCAAAGAAAAGAAGGAAATTTACCACTTCGAGTAATGATTGGCCCAGCAGTGAGAACAGCATTTCCAGACAATGTGCTTGGGTCTTTTCCTTCAGAGATCTCTCTTCTTTTTCTGCTGCCACAGATCTACGACAAACAGCAGAGAACATGGACATGATGTTGGTGTGAATAACCACAAGTGGTCTAAGTTACATTTCTACTTGTGGTACAGTGATTAACATGACGCAGCGAAGCTTCATTTTTATTCCTCCAGATAGGAAAATACACACAAACGCACACACACACACACACACTTACATATATATATACATATATATATATATATATATATGTATATATATGTGTGTGTGTATATATATATATATATATATATATATGTTCCTATATGTATATCTACTAGATCTGCACTCTACTAGATCTGCACTCTACTGGATCTGCACTCTACT